ACCCTTGGGGGTACTCTGACAAAGGCCAAATAAGTCACCTGTTGATGGGGTCAAGACCAAAAAGAGCAAGATCGCACCTTCCCTTTCTCCCCCTAGCCTCCTTTTCTCCCTCTCAAACATCTTTCCCACCTGGCATCATGCTAGTGCTGGAGAAGGGAAATATTACTGTCCCAGATGCCAGAACTGATCACTTACAGAGGGGGTTTTGAAGTGGAGCTAGGAGCCATATAAGAGCTGTCTGAGGGCCACATGAGGCCCCTGCACTGCAGGTTTGCCTTTCACTGCTCTACACAGCAAAAATTATAAAGCCATGCAAGCTGCCACACATCCATAATGGTACATGTTATTCATCACCACTACACAAACACACACACTTTCCTTTCCACTTCAGGAAGGCAGTAATGGGTCCACCACACAGGACTGGTGGATGTTGGGAATACATGGATACTGGGGGGAAAAAAAGGCAAATTAAGCTCCTGCCTCCAGACTAATGCACAATCACTCTTAGAACTTCACAGGGTATTAAGAACCTATGCAGCCATAGGTCACAGAACGACAACCAAAATATAGCAGAAGTATATATACCTCAAACACTCAGATCTGAAGAACCCTGGGAAAGAGGGGCTTCATTACACTGCTCTTGTTTACAGACCATACACTAGCAGTCAGTAACTTGAGTACACGCATTTACACCCTTTTTTGTGCAAGAGAAGAAGAAATGTGGACAAACTCAGACACAAGATTGTGTATACGGAGCCTGATGTGAGACACAACAGTCTGAATGCTCATATCCCCTCTTCTCATATTGGCCTGCACACAGAGTTAATAACATAGCTGAATATGAACACTCTAGAACTAAAAGCATACGCCTATAGTACAATATTAAAGATTTTTGTATGTTTCATAGACACACCAAAAAACTTCAAAATTCATATTCAGGCACAAAAGTAGATGTTCTGAGCATGTCTCACTTCGTTTCTTTTCTTTGTTTTCCATCAGCAAGTTTCTATCCCTCATGAGTAATCTAAGGAAGACTCAGAAACCAAGGAATGGCAAGGCTAATTAGTTGTGCCATTGCCACATGATCTGCTCCGTTTAATAGCCACATCCTTCCTTTCTACTTGTTATATCATTTCTTACTGCCAAAGATTCTGTGTTATTTGAAGAGACTCCCTTCCTATGTAAGCAAAATTATCTGGGGGCAGGGGAGTAAAATCAGCCTACATGATGCCATTTTAGCTTAATAGTAAGAAAGGAATATTCATTTATTCCAAATGAAAATGTTGCCTATTGAACAGAATACACAATTCCACACATTCAGGAGACTACACATTCATTCATAACTGATGAATGCCTTTGCATATGGCTAGGTATGGATATGGAAAAAGGTGCACAGAATATGGACATGCAATGTTACCAACTTCTGTTTGTATACATTTGGGCACCTTTGCATGAGATAGGCAAGGCTAGATTCGCAACACTGCCAAAAATGCACTGATTACAGGCACCACTTGCCAAACTAATGAGCAATGCTCATGCTTATTTGTCTGTCTGCAATCAGCAATCGTGCACACAAGCCAAAGACAGCACCAGTGCACACTCAGCATGAGAAGCATCTTTAGTGTTCCAATCCTCTCCCTGTGTGCCAATGCAGCTATTGAACAGATTCATTATGTACTTCTACTGAGATACGCAAGTAAAGCAAACACAACATGTTAAAGCAAGTGTAACCACATACATGCAGATCAGTGTCTCACAGAGCGCATGCAACTTCCACATAGCACAAGTATGTTTTTTTTTGTCTTTTTGTGTTCTTTTTTGGGAGGGGGGGCTTTTTATAGTGGCAGTCCACCACACTTCCGCCATTCTTTTCAGAATTACATAACATGCAGCTAACTTCCTCTTAGCACATCAATTGCACACATCTCATGTGGATACACCATTCTACATCACAGATATCTAGAACGTGCACATTCCAGTGGAACTCTGCCCAAAACAACTTGCAGCACTGGCACAGTTGCTCAAGCAAGTGATGCTTTGGTATTTTTCAGCATATCTGTACACACGACAGAGTTGTCACCACTAGCATGTCATCTCTAATATTTCCTGCAAGCGATCCTATACATTTGACTATGTCCAAGCATGGGAAGGACTGCCACTCCTATTGATACACACACACACACACACACACTCAAGCAATCATGCCATGTGACTGTTTTTGTACCCCAATGCATGTGCAGACAGTTAAAGCAAGTGTAACAGAAATAAGCATGTATCTGCATCTATATTATCCTTCATCTACAGAAGTGGCAAGTGCATCGGTATTTTTTGTGCAAATGTTTTTCACATTAACAGCTTGCAAGAGCAAAGTTGTGAAACATTGACAGTGCACATAGCATGCGTCTGAGTCTGCCTCCATGTGTCTGACCATAACAATTCCCACGCACTCATCCTATTTTAAACACCTACACCTGAGCTAAATATAGGTTGATCAAAGTTAGCGATGGATGACTGATGAACTTGGTCATTTGGAAGTAAGAGATATGTGGATTTCCAACCCAAGGAAGGGAGCCTGTGGCCATGCAGACATCAAAGAACTACAACTCCCACAATTCCTCACCAGGCAGGCAAAGATGAATGGCAGTCAGAGTCCATCAACATCTGGAGGGCTGCAAATTCTCCACCCTTGCTATAAAATCATTGCAGATCCCTTCCAGTAGACACTCTCACCTCAACAGCATCATGAGGATGGGAGGTGTAGCTTTAAAAACACGGGGCGGAGGGAATCCACATTTAATAGATTCATTACTATCCACCCTTTGTGTAAAGGGCTATAATGTTTGCCAGCCAACAGTTTAGCTTCCACAACCCTCTACCATCATGAAATAAACATACTCAGCACCTTGTTTTTTCCACTATCTCATAGTTCAGCAAAATAATGGCCTAATATCTCCAAAAGGGTCCTTAGCAAAAAACAGATGACCCAAACAGCAGGGTATTGGGGTAACAGATGCCAGATTAAGAGGTACATGAAGCAAATTTCCAAACAGATGTTCTGGGCAGCAGGGATGGGTGGGGAGAGACATACATATAAAGGGAATCCGTTGCAGGCACCTGGAAGACAGAAATGTATATGAACTGAGAAAACAAGTTAAAATGTTGGTTTGATAAAAATGGAGGCACCAGGAAGGAAGAATAAGAACAAGCTGATGGTACTGTCCGATAGAGGCTGAGGAGATAGAGAGAGAAAAACTGGAAGACCTGGAAAGAGAAGCTATGCTAAGCTGGAAGAAGAGATGGTTTGGGAAGAGATGAGGTGACAAGGCACAGATTGAAATGTATGGTTCCCAGATACAGAAATCATGGAAATAAGAGTGGCATGGATACAGCCATGAACCAGTGGGTAGAGGTGATGGAATGGATGAGGACATAATTGTAGATTTGAGCCAAACAAGGGAAACCAGAGTAAAATGTGGGCAAAAAAAATTATGATGGGTAGAACTGGATGGGGTGACATATAGTGGTTACTAGACAGAGCAGGTGTGGAGTGACCCCTATGAGATACAGTATAACAAAGAGGTTGTCTATGTGGATTGCTGTAGCCAAAGGAAAATGTGAATAGAAAACAGATCCTACACTGGATAGAACAAGCAATGGGGTACTGGGAAGACCGGCCATATGGAAATAAGGCAGAGCTCAGGGTAGACTGGAAGGCCTGAGGACACAGGTGGGATGAAGTCAGAAAGGGGTGTGTGCTATAAGTCATTAGAGGGGCAAATGAGGAAGAATGCTGGAGCAAAGATGCAATGTGAAACAGTTAAGGGCAGATTGTCAGGGTTTATTTGTAACGGGGGCATTTAAGGATCAGAGGGGAACTGGGGACAGCAGAAGGGAACACAGAGAAGACTGAAGTGGAGGAGTCAGGGAAGAAAAAGGGGAACTGGAAAGAAAAGGTTATTGATATTTTAACAAGGAGCAGAACAGAGGGCTATTGGAAAGGGTGTTTGTTTGTGGGGCTGGAGATACAGTACTGTATATGGAACTAAAAGAGGGAAGAAAATCCAAGAGCAGAAAGGCCATGTAAAAGATGGGTGGTGGTGGGGTTTGCAAGGCTTTTTTCAGTGGGGTTCCAGTGGCCCCTCCCCAGTGTAGGGCACAGGGTACACTGCAATTGCTGGGCCCCTGAGCGCAAGCAAGGCAGCCTCACTCTGGAGTCGATGGGGCCTTGAGGATGGAGAGGGTTGTGGCAGGTGGGTCGGCCTTGGCGGGAAGGGGTTTAGAAGATTCCAGGAGGGAGGCAGGTGAAAGCAGGATGCAAGCCCCAGTCGGGGGAATTTGGGGTGGAGATGGCTGAGGCTGACAGACCAAACCGGAGGAGGAAACCTCTTGCGGGGAAGGTCTTGGGGAGGGGGGGCTCCCAGGTGGGGAAAGGCAGGGATGCACACTGGGAGACGGAACAGGGTGGATAGGAGCGGATCGGCAGACGGTGTGTCGGGGAATCAGGATGGATCTGGGGCGGGAAGGAAGAGAGATTGTGGATGTGACGGTGGAGATCCGGGCGGGTGGATCCCTGGAGAAGATCAGGGCAGGGTGCCTGGGGAAGTGGTGGGTGCTGTGCTTTGCAAAGCCAGGAGAAGATGTGGGTGCTCGGAGAGTCGCGCGCCCCGGGTGGCAGCGCAATGGGCGCCGTGGGTTGCGGGAGCCCAGGGGATGCGGGAGCTCGACCGAGGGGCATTGGAGGAAAAGGCCCGGCAAGCAGGGAAAGAGGGGCGGGGAGAGAGGGGCAAAGCAGGGGGTCTTTAAAAAACAATAACCATCTAAGGCTGGTGGTCAGTTTTGGATAGCGCTGTGGAGGGGAGAGCGAAAGCCAGGGAGAGGTGGCATCGGGCAGGCGACAGACCCGGTCCCCGTGGGCAGAATGGAAGCGAGGGGCGGCTGCAAACGGGGAGCGGCGCGGGGTTCCCGCGGAGGACACGGGACTTTCCGAGCCCGATTCTTACCTGCCTTTGCACCAGGCGGGGGAGGCGGCGGCGCTGCTGCTCCAGCAGCTGGTGGCGGCGGCGGCGCGGATGCAGGAGGGATGCAGGAGGGAGCCGGGTCCGGATGCTGATGCCTGGCCCCCTCCCCGGCCTTCAGAGACGATTCCCGTCCCCCAAGGGGACCCGACTCCCCAGCCCCGGCATCCCTCCCTCCCGGCTGGCCGGTCGGCCACCGCCTGGCGCCCCCCCTCCAGCCCGCCCAGGCAGCTCCGGAGAGCGAGGAGAGGAGAAAATCCCGCCCCTTCGCTCAGTGCAAAAGCTCGGGCGAAACTGCCCCTTTAAGAAAACCCAGATTGACAGGGACGCTGGCCAACGGGCAGCTAATCTAGTCCGGGACAGCCCCTCAGGCACCGCCCACGCGTGGAGAAGGGAGGGGGAGGTTGGACTCCGAGTGGCAAGGAGGCCAAGCCAATGAATGGAAAGGCTGGTGGGCGGAGGGGGGGCATGGGAAGCCAATTGGGGAAGCCGGTGGGTGGGGTTGAGTTTTAGGATGATGTCATTCGGTGGTTCTTTAGGAAAAAGGAGGGGAGGAAGAGAAGGAGAAAAAAATCGGATGCATCGCAGGTAGAAACGGGAGGGGAGGGGAGGGGAGGGGAGGAGTAGGGAAATATGTACGATATTCATGCAACATCCTAAGGAAATGTCCCGGTTTGTGTTAAATGATCTAAGGAAATGCAGTCTGTCCGGTGAAAAGAACGAGACGTTGCACCACTAAGGGCGGAAAAAATGCACCAAATGCCTGCAAAGGGAGAGGCAGATAGAGAGATACAGGCAGAAGTCGGAGAAATGATTCATGCACTTCAGAGAGGATCTTTTATCTATGCATGTACCACCTGGAGATGCACCTGAGAGGATCGGAGCAAATGCAGCATTCCGGGGGGAAAACACCAAAAATAAAAAAAAACACCACAGCCTCTTCCCATGGAGAAGATGCACACCTCCATGCGAAAGGAGGTTCTCAGGGGCTACGGAGGACGAGTGAAGCGGTCTAGGGAAATGCACCACTCCATGCGACACAGGGAAAAATGAATCGAGCCACGCATTACAAGGAGATTCACCAGCCCCATTGAACTCAAGGGAAACAGCAATATGCGTTTCTCAAGAGTCTGGAAAGGGAAGAGTGCAGGGTGGGTTGGGGGGAAAACACATCAGGCCACGTGCTACTGAGAAATACACCAATTCGTGCAAGGCAGGGTAGAAAGAAATGCATCAACCCTTTTTTTTTAAAAAAAGTGTCAGTCAACTAGGCTAGAGAAATGCACCCCACGCCTTGCGGAAATATTTGTGCAGTAGCCTATGAAAACTCATCTGTGCAAGACAGAGACATGAAACAATGCCCTGTAAGGTAAGGTGTGCTTTGCTGGCATCAAATGTGCTAGCTTAGAGAATCTGGTAAAGACACAGAAATATATCAAGGGATGCAATAGGGGAGGGTGCAAAAAAGAAAAATCAATGCATGGAAAGCAAAGAACTGCAAATCAATGCATCACGGAAGATGATCCAGAAAGGGAGCTGTAAATCAGCCGTGCATCGTGAATGGTGGCAAGGCTTGGGTGGGAGAATAACACGTTTTATTCTTGGTATTTTATAAATGCTAGTTCTGAAGCAGTACCAGCAGGTTGATTCCATTCCCATATAAATGCATTGGAGAAACAGAGATTTAAGGGCTGCATTTGTTAAAAATGGGGCAAGTGTACCCTTTTTTGCTAGAGGGGAAAGGAGGATGCACAGCCTTCATGGAATATACAATATGTATCACACACACAAAAATCTAGTTCATTGTGGAAAGGAATAGCAAAACAGTTCATGAGTTGACAGGGCAATGTGGCATCTATTGATTTTTCTTCTTGTCTGGGGAAAAAACATTTGTTAGGATCTCAGTGGTTTAGGCATCTGGCTGTGTAGCCAATATTTGGGAGTTCAATTCTCCACTGTGCTTCCTTGACGGGCTGGACTTGATGATCTATAGGGTCCCTTCCAGCTCTGCAGTTCTAAGATATTATTTTGCAACTTGACATTCATTGATAACTCTGGCGTTAGCCAGTACAGGCTTATGAAAGCACAACTTGTGATTGTAAAAGACGTGCTAACTGATGTGAACTGTGTACCACAAAAGCTTTAATAAACCTGTTCATTGGCTGCCACAAGACGTCTGCTGTTCTGCCTGTAATGAAGTCAGAGATCATATTTTCTTGTGAGAAATACTGTATTTTTAGTAATGTGTAATTTCCCTTGAGGGAAATGAACTGCTTAAAAGATGGCTTAAATAGTAAGAAAATGCATCGAAAGCATTGCCTGACAAGGTACGAAGAAATACATGAAGTCTGTAACAGCTCAAAGGCATGTCGGTGCAAGCAAGCAAAGACAATATTCTGATTCTAACAGAGCCATGCCAAAATTCAGCCACCCTGAACTCTCAGACAAATGCATTAAACTTCACAGTCCAGATAATTAGTCTGAGACACAGAGATAAAACTAGGGAAATGCACAAATGTCAAGTTCCAGGAAAATGCTCTTTTCTGCCATTTAGAAAATGTTCCTGCATGCAGTGATGTAGCAACAAAGGGAAGTGGAACCCTGCATTCAACTACAGAGCTCAGGAAGAATCATGGAAATACACATTTATGCTACCTATCTGCAACACAGCAGTAATACCCATTCATGCAGCCATTACAAAACAGAATTGTCCAGGTGGACATGCAGTTCCAGATTCTGATACAAGAAAATGTTAACCAGTGAACTGGTTGGATCTGGGGTTTTTTGCACAATTTGAATCATCCACTGAAATCAATGGAACATGTACTAATTACAACTAACATGTATTTCATTAATTCCAGTGGGTCAAAACTACCAGTTTATCATAATAGGTAGCTGTTGACAGAAAAAAATTGGTTAGCTTATCTAAACCTTGGAGGTGGGGGGTTGATGCATGCTTGTAGAGAGGGAGTTAAAAGTAGTGGGAAACTTTTGACTTTTTAGATGTGAAACTCCAAAATTCATCAACCCCAGCTAGCATGGCCAGCAATCAGATGATGGGCCTGATAGTCCAAAAACATCTGGAGGGCCACAGGTTCCTGCTACTTTTCTTAGCTGCAGTGACCACTGCTATAACATGAGTTATGGTCAAGCTATATATTGTATCAGGGGTTTTTAATCAACATCTTTATCTTTTTAAAAACACACCAGTCAAATAGTGTCCCCAGAGTACAACCTGCACACACAGCTGCTATTGGGAGCTTTAAAGAGACATATGCATGACTATATTTCTATTGTATAGTTTTGATTTCTTGTGATGAACGAAGGAAAAAATATGAATATTATTTAAATGCACTGTTTTGTTGCAGTTGAATACATCCAAGAAGAATGGGAGTAAGTGATGCAGGTCCGGCCAACGTGGTGGGCAGAGGGAGGGTCCTTGCCAAGTTTAGTTTTTGGCATCTCCAGTTGGAAAGATAAGAGAAAGAAGATAATGGGGGGGATCCATCTTTCTGAGTTATTAAAGTGCTACTCCCAACAAAATCAGACGTCATAGGGCTAACTGGGGAAATAATAATAAAAGTTACTGGTTGGGACAACAAGTCCCAAAATTCCTCAGGCCTGGTTCTTTTAAGATCTTGCTAGGAATTACTTTCTCGCCTCATAAAATTATCCTCCACCCCAATCATGCATGAACATCCCATTGCTAGGTGTATTCCTAGCAATGCCTTGATGGTTCCTGATTTTCAAATGGTGTTTATCTTCTTCCAGCCCCTTTGTATTTTGATCGCATCACTCCAATGTGTATGCCTGGTTATTTTGTAAAGTTCCCTTTTATTCCACACCCCGTCTTCATAGCAGCAGCTATAGCTTAATTTTAGACAATGCTCAATAACAATGCCCTAACATGGTTAACGTTTTGCACTTTCTCGTCTAGTTTATTGATCCATATGTTTTTGAGGGCCTACTTGGTAGAGGTCTGAGGTAGCAGAAAAAGAGGGATGGAAAAGATAGACCTCCTCAGGTCTCTATTTGAATCAGATAATTCTCTTGAAGAGGGCTGGATAGGTGAGTAAGTTAGGTTTCTGGTCACAGAGTTAGAGGTTGGGAGTACAGTTCCCCATTGTGCATCCTAGAAAAGGCAGCCTGTGTAGTCTGGGGGAAGCTGTATACTCCCAGTACGCCCTCAGAAGAAGGGAATGGTAAACCACTTCTAAACACTATCTAGAAAACCCTGAAAAGGGTGACCTCAAACAGCAAAGCAAAGTGTGCTGCTTATACCGTAGTGCTTCAAGCACTCTCTGGGCAGTTTACAAGTTAACTATGCAGGCTACACATTCCCCCCCCCCAGCAAACTGGGTGCTCATTTTACCGACCTCGTAATTCTGACCGTAAGTCAGAATTTATTTGATGACACAGTTATGCACAGTTATTATGAATTCCCTTGTACTTTTTCACAAATGGAACCTGCTGCATAGTTTCTCTTCAGGGCACAGGAGTTGTGTCGTAATGTGGGATATGCATGACTGGAGCAGTGGGGAGAGTTCCACCTAAGGCCACCCTTTGATTTTAGCTTCAGTCTTCACTGTAGCTAGGGGCAAAGGGATCTGGCAGTGGTCACTACCGGTAAGGAAAGTACATTGTTCTGAGCCCTGTTGTGTTTTGGGATGACTTGGGCTCCAATGGGCAAAAGACAAAGTAGATTTAACAAAAGACCTGTTCCTGACAGAGATGACAACAACTAGAACTGTTTTGATCTGGGCCACCATGGCTGCCTCCATTTTGGAAGTCCAATGAGCTGTAGCTGTGGGGATTGTCATGAGAAGCTTGTCGGAATTTACCATTACTGTATACAAATGTGATTAAGGAGGACTGGATCCCAGAATATGAGGGCCAGAGGCAGGAAGTATTGCCCGTCTTCTGCCTCATTTGGTGCTAGTCAATGGCAACTGGTGTTCATGGGGCTGGTAGGGTGGAAGACCCAGCAACCCATGATAGGCAGTGCTCCCGGTGACAGGCAGAGTTATTCATAGACACATACACACAAAGAGGGAGACAGGCAAATAAGCATTCACAGATACATATGGGCATTAAAACAGACAGTGCCTCACTCTCACTCCATTCCTTCACTCCAGCTCAACAGGAAAATACATCTTGCTCCCCTCATTTCTCTTGTTTCTCACATACTCGCAGAGTGTGA